TAGAGCACACCTGAACACACAAACAAGCTGATAGCCGAGTTTGCAGTACATACAAAAACCATGGAATGCTTTCACAAGTCTTTTCTGAAAGACCAAAATATTTTCAATTGAATATATTAATATCAATGGAGCTTTAGTTTATACTAAAAAACTGGATAACTTTTATCTTTTTATGAGAACATTCCTGTACAGCTGAGATTGTGTAGCTGGGAACAGTGTCAGGTTACACATTTCTCTCCATACACGGCATGGTGACTCTCCCCAGCATGGAGACATTATTAGCAGGTGACTGGCTCTGAGCCAGCACACACAGACCAGGCCTGCACTCCCACAGTGACATGCTCAAAATTCAAACAAACAAAAAAAATGTCATGCAGTAACTCACAGGACTTTCACAAACACTCTGTGACAAGTGCCCTTGAAACAGCACTGACTCCATAAACAAATATCTGCCAACAGAGCTAAAGCTTTACATGTCACCTTTAACTGACCTCTCATACTGTATGTTCTCACATGTTAGCAGCACCTACAGCTCAGCAAGCAACAAGCTACTGATTCCCAACAGTGTTCCCTATTTTGGGAACACGCAATATGCTGCAAACAGTTCAGGATCTTTGGGAATTTTCCAATCCTCTGGGCAGAAGCAGCATGTCCTTGAGGACCAAACCAAAGAAAGTATGCAGACCTAGCCGGCCTACTGTAAGGTTGAGCAAAGAGATTTAATAGCACTGTACTGTACATTTCCTACCTCTGTAGGCCTTTTGGTCCAATAACACAGGGAAAGTCCTGAAGTGTCTCCTCCCGGGTATCTTCCGACAGACCCCTTGCTGGAACAAAACGACAGAAGAGCTGGAGATGTAGCGGAGGAGGGTAGACATGGCCCCGAGACTCCCTCTGACTCTTTAATATGAACACAAACAAGCAGAGGTAGGTGATCAGTTAAAGCTAATTCTGCATCTACTGTCAAATAACGAAGAACATTATAATCCCCCCCTTAGTAGGTCCTGGGCCCTCCAATCACACACTCAGGCTGTCTGCACTGCCAGGCCTACGCACACAGGGCGCAGGGTTGATTACAGACTCTGGACTTCGCGAGATCTGGAAGGATGACGGTACAGAGGGGAACCGTGCCAAGTCTGGCCTGGTTGTTGGGGGCAGGGGCAGAGAAATAAGGCGTCAGGTAAAATAATGAGTGGCTGCAAGGGACAACTCAGATACATACAGACACCTCACACAAACAAGAAAAAACTGTTTGCAAATAGACAAAAAAGAAAACTCAATCTCATACAGGCCTAGTGTGGAAACGTGTCATTACTCTGCTTGGTGTTTTGATTTCTTAGCAAGACCAGTTGTTTTTATTTGCTGCTTTTTCGCGTATTAATTCATTCATCACAGTCAACGTCGTTCAACCTCCCTCGTTTTACCATTTAATTCTTAAGACGGGTCGATTGCGTTATTATTCTTACACTTGCCTTTCAGATGTTCAGATGTTCAGAAGGAGCAGGTTCGGTTCTCCTTCCCCTCACAGCAGCAGCACAGTTACCTGTGCAACGTCCAAACCAAAATCCCCTCGTCCGCTTACAAAACACAGACGACCTTCCTCAGCGTCAATATCACAGCTGTACCGTTTATGTGTAAATAGCGAGCCACGTGACTTCACTCCTGGCCACCTTTGAAGGAGATAAACCGTGAGATAAAACTCCTTGCAGCCGCTAAGTAAAGCACTACGAATCTACAGTCTACCTGCGAATTAAAGGCAGGTTTAACGTGTTTAAAGAGTCACCCTGGTAATTTATTGTCAAAATATGTAGCCCACGTAGGGCAGATGGACGCTGTCGCTTAATACGCAGCTCTTAAAGAAGAAATATGTGAAAATAGCCAGACAGATAGGGCAATATCTTGCTTGTTAAAATGGTTTCGACCTACTGCATTTTATTTTCTGTACATCAGGTGACGCCAGAGCATCGGGGAAAGGCTAGAATTTGTTGGACGACTATGACAGTTTCATTGATTTGAGTGGTGGGGTAGCCGGACAAAATGCAGGCCCCTGGGCACAGACAGGTAAAAGACCCCCCGCCCCATGAGGCTCACTAGACTGAAACAGACTCCTTGTGTCTGTTTGCTGTAGTTTTGTGTCATTTTATTGTCATATTTGCAATTACTGTGGTTCTTTTGAGCTCTTTAACTTTCAAATGAGAAATATTCACAGCTTTATTTTGCTCCAGGATTCTTGTTTCGTCTCAGAAGCCTGGGCTAGTGTCAGGGAGCCCTGTTCTGTAATTTTCCTTGGGTGTTGCACAAAAAACGGGATCCATATTACGACCTGTCTTGCAAAATTTGCAAAGCGGAAGCAGTTCTCTCTCGCACAGGACAATGTTTTGGTTGGCCATCTCGTTTAAACGCCACATGGATTTTGTAAATATTAGTCGGTCCCTTGCTGTCAGCAGCAGTATGATATAAGCGTTTTTAGCAGCCACTCACTAGTATCAATCATTAAGTGAGTAACAATATTTGTTTAAAAGTATTTATCGCAGCTAAAAAGGAAACTAACAACTAGCAGCATGTAGCCTAGCTAACACTGCAGCTGAAGCAGTGGCACTATAACATTAGCTTCACTCTTGTCTGGTTGTTTTTGTTTGTTCACTGGGATTTCGTCTGTAGATAAGATACTGTAAGTGAATATACCGAGTATGTTGGGTATACAGTAACGTAACTTCATTTACATACTATGTATAAACAAACTGAGAAAACCAGTTGAAAGTGCTGATGTGGGGCTTTCACACAGATCTGTCATTTATTTCTGCAGATCAGTTGGAAGACCTGTTTTAAACTGTGAATTATGAACATTTTATAACCCCAGAGGGTTAAGAACTCTGCTTACCTTTCTGTATCTTATTGTCAGTGTGGCTGCTGGTGGACAATGAAGTCTCTGAGGCTGCTGTCAGTGGATCCATCAGACCAAGGCTCTCAGAGATGCAGGCTGGGTCCAGGCTTGATGTCAGCACTGGGTCTGAGTCTGGGCTCCCCTCTGCTGGTGTCTGTTCCAGGGGGAAGCTGCCTGTGCACTGCCTGGCCCCGGCCTGACCTGGCAGAGGGCTTCCTGCAGATGGACCTGAAATGTTCCTCTCCCAGTTTGATCTCTCACCCATGCACACACCTGGACCTGGACCCTGGTCAGCTCACACCCGTACCCTGCCTCAAACTGAAAGGTGTTAAGATAACTGTGGTAGTCCAGAGTGTTGACTTTAGGAAACACACACCTCCTCGCCTCATTCATGAGCTTGTGAAAGACATGCTGAAAGGTGTACATGTCCATAACAAGTATGTGATCAACCTGCAGGATTTTGATACAGAGATTAAATATGTTGTTATTGAAAGCATCAATCCAGAGTCTGCCATTGCTGGATATATCACCTCAAAAACTGCTGTGGAGATAACTGGTGTCCAAACGGTCCGGCATTACAGGAGTCGGCTGCAGAAGCAGCATACAGTGCCACTGGGTGGGCTGGAGGAGGTGTGTATTTTCACTGTAATAACATTATTGCTGTTCATCTACAATGTGTGTTGTAACTATGTGACACCTACATTTGTTTTCATACTGTATGTTAGGTGAGCGCCTCCCTGAGAGAGATGCTGGAGCTGCCCCTGCTCTATCCACGCACCCTGAGCTCTATAGGTGTGTTGTGTCCCAGAGGCATGCTCCTGGTGGGGCCTCCAGGTGTGGGCAAGACCCTGCTGGTCCACACAGTGGTGGAGGAGGTGGGGGCTAGCCTGGTGGTTGTCAGAGGGCCAGAGGTAACTAAATATACACTCAGGTGGCAGGTTATTAGAGACACCTAGCTAAAACTAATGCAGTCTAAAATGCAGTAGATCCCCCTTTCATGAAGGTGAAGATGTTCAGTTTTTTGTTCAAACTGACTTGGAGATATGCTGATTCAATTCTATGGTGACTGTGAGTGACCATATGATTGGGACCTTTTATGCATTAGAATTTGTGTTGTCAGTGTGGTGATCTCTTTAAAAGATCATTTGATTTCTGTTGATATTGAACATTTACTTTGCTGTTTGCTGAGATTTTGGGTTATAAGAAGCTCAGTCTTCCTGTCAGTATTTTGTTTAGGAAATAATTCTCCTTCATGTTTTCAATGATGGCTCTCCTAATATGAAGAATAATGCTGTTATCATGACATTTCACACTGAAGGAACTTGCAGTCCTGTATTCTTCATGTGACTTACTCTGTATTTCTAGTCATTAGGAGTTGTGCCAGAGACCTGCTTAATCTGGTTGATATTACCAACACAAACATAACACACTTGTAACAGTAATAATAATAATAAGATAAAAAGAGATGAATTTCAACATGGGAAGTGGACATGAGAAGATAAATTTATGCATGAAACACAAATAAGATCTTTTTATTGTTATAAATCCTGGGTCACATCGGGGATTGATTTAAAATGGTTCCTTGTGCTATGTTATGTTAAACTTATTTTATTTTTTTTCTTTTAAATCAGAAAGTACATAATGATTGACTGTTTCAGGTGGTGGGATCACGGCCGGGTGAGAGTGAGGCGATGTTGCGGGCTGTGTTTGAGCAGGCTCGAGCTGCAACAGAAGAGGGACCATGTGTGCTGTTCTTAGATGAGCTGGACTCACTGAGTCCAAGGAGAACCGGCTCAACTGCGCCAGAGAACCGCCTGGTTGCTCAGCTTCTCACACTGATGGATGGGATGGATCAGTCTGATCACTTCCTCATCGTCGGAGCCACCAACCGACCAGACAGCTTAGACCCAGCACTGCGCAGACCTGGAAGATTTGACAGAGAGGTACAAAGGAGAAAATGTATAACCCAGTGCATAATAATACATGTAAATAAAATTTTGAGGCTCTGAATTTTACATCTGCTATGTAGGTTATCATTGGAGCTCCCACCTTGCAGCAGAGAAAGGCCATCCTGTCTGTCCTGTGCACGAGGATGCCTACATGTCCCAGTGTGGACATGGCAGAGCTTGCACAGAGAACTACAGGATATGTAGGAGCAGACCTAAGTGCCTTGTGTAGGGAGGCTGCTATGCATGCTTTACGGGAAGAATCAAAGGTAAATACCAGTGATGGACAAACCAAGGCTTTCGGCTTTCCGAAGCCCAGGATCAATATGAATCAATTGTTTGGAAAATGGTTTGCAGTTTTGAAGCATTTGACGCATTCAGAAATGGTGACATCTGCTGGCCATCTCTTGCGTTTTTTTTTTTTTGTTTGTTTGTTTTTTTTGGTATATTTGTATTTTTTTATTTTGTACGGGTGCAATGAACCATGAGGAAACAGCTAGTCAAAATATAACTAGTCTTAATGCTTTTATTATTGTTATTTTGTTCAGTATTATGAAAACAGATCACTTTTAAGCTGACTCTACAACTCCATTCTTAAGTACTGGCAGTATCACATCTCTGAAAGGTCAATACGGTGTCGAGTTTTCTGCAACCAGCATAAAATCACTAATAAATAGAGCAATCAAGCAAGCTATCAAATAGAAAAAAAAGTCCAAGACTTCCAGTGTCTTAAGTATATTGCTCTACAGCTTCTCTAAGTGTGGGAACATAGCCCCCCCCTGAGTGTTTAAAACAGAAATTTGTGCATGCTTTTTCTTGACATTATTGTCTGCAGGGCTCAGGAGGACAGGCAGTGGGCATGAAGCATTTCCAGGAGGCCCTGAAGTCAGTGCGTCCCTCCTGCCTACGGAGCAGCCTGGGCAGGACAGACCTCTCCCCAGTGTCCTGGGAGCAGATAGGAGGCTTGGATGAGGTCAAACTCAGACTAAGACAGGTAAATGAGTGCCTGAAATATACAAAGTAAAATACATAGAGTTGTCATCTGAGTTTGTTTAGAAGTGTTTCCTACAAATCAAAGAAAAACACCTGTCACTGGAATTAATGGTTTATTTATTTCCACCTATCCTGTCTTGTGTGTGAACATCTCAGAGTATTGAATGGCCGATGAGGTACCCTGAGGCGTTTGTTCGTCTGGGTCTGTGTCGGCCCCATGGCGTGTTGCTCTACGGGCCCCCAGGATGTGCAAAGACAACACTTGTCAGAGCTGCAGCAACCTCCTCTCACTGTGCCTTCCTGTCTGTCAGTGGTGCTGACCTCTACTCTCCCTATGTCGGGGATTCAGAGAAGGCTTTAGCACAGGTATTTTCTTTTTCTGTGAATGGCTGGTGTGTTTGCGTCTTCCTGTGTGTTTCATCCATGAACACCCCAGTCTGTCCACACAGTTGTTTCGTCAGGCCCGAGCCTGCACTCCTTGTATCCTGTTCCTTGATGAGATCGACTCTCTGGTTGGCTCAAGGTCGAACAGTCAGACACCTAACAGCGTACAGACACGCCTCTTGTCTGTGCTCCTGAATGAGATGGATGGAATTGGCTTGAAGACGCTGGAGAGGAGAGGGACGGAGAAGATCCTCCAGACAGAAGGGGTGGAGGAGAATCACACACAGGAACAGGTCAGATATGATGATCTCACACCTCCTTCCATCACATGAAACACATGATCAGTATGAAGCTGATTAGTGAACATTATGCTTTAAGCTGTTTTTCATTCTCTGACAGTTGGACTGCCAGGAAGTAAGCAACAAAGATGTGATGGTTGTAGCTGCCACAAACAGACCTGACTGCTTAGACAGTGCCCTCCTCAGACCTGGCAGACTGGAGCACATCATCCATGTCCCACCGCCTGACCAGCAGGTTAATTATATCTTCCATCGAAATTAAAATTGTGTTGTTACAGGATTAAAGCAGCTGCACAAGATAGTTTTTTTTTTTTTTTTTGAGGAGAATTAAAAGAACTTGCACATAAAAAGCCGATTAACCTCGTATACTGTGTGTGTCATTTCATGCATCTAGGCTCGACTTGCCATCCTGAAGGCCTGTACTAAATCGATGCCTTTAAGTGTTGATGTGTGTCTGGAGGAACTAGTCGCAAAGACAGAGCTTTACTCTGGAGCTGACCTGGAAAATCTGTGTAAAGAGGTAATATGACGCACACCCAGAGGCCTTGTTTTCTTAAACCTGGCTATAAAATACAAAATAGAATACCGTTCTTAAATGTCAACCTTGATAAATGGATAACGAGGGACTGCCTGAAACATATTTTTGTTTTCCAGGCTGCTTTGTTGGCACTACAAGAGGAGAACATGGAAGCTTCTGCCATCAAACACACATACTTCCTAAGGGCCCTCAGCAAAATGAGGCCCTCTCTCACTGCCCAGCAGATCCACACATATCAGACACCACCCAAATGACAAAGCCCATATGACCATGTCCTCTGCACTGATACATTGTTTTGTTACACAGAAGTTGGTTTGAAATAAAATTGGTAAACCTTGACCATTGGTGTTTGGGGTCTTCTCTTGTTTTATGTCACTGACAAGCGCTGTTATGTGCTTGAAGCTATCTTCTAGCCCTTGACGTTCAGTTTTCAAATGTGGCCACAAGAGAGCACTGCACACTCAGAAAATGTATTGATCAACTGAAATATGGATGTGGTGATGAATGGGACTCCACTGGTGCATTTCACTGCAGGAAGTTTTGTCTGACTACGTGCCTTTCATCTCGTATCACTTCTCATTCAGCCCACATCAGCTTTGTTTATAGGACTCTGTGCGAAGAGGCGACAATAATTTCTTGACAAACGCAGGTGAGACGCACCACACACAGCTGCCTCCTCTCTTTGTTGTTGACATTATCTGGATTCTCAGCCTCACTTTTAATACAATTCTTTTAGGTATTTGAGAAATTTGAAAAATGGGTGGATTTTTCCGGATGCTGGGAAAGAGAAAGGAGGTGAGCCATGTACATTTTTTACTCTGCTAAAGGTGATTTTGTATTATGGACACTGGATGTGTAGCCCATGCAGGAAGTTACATGTTATGTTTTGTGTGTTTTCCAGCTGATCCCGCTGGTAGGGTTTATGACTTTAGCTGCAACAGGAGCCACCTCTGCTTCACTGTACTTTCTGTGTACTAAACCTGATGTTATGTGAGTGTTTTTGTACTTGTTCTCATTTTGATAAAATTATATTGCACTGTTTTGCTTTATAATATAGTCTTCTAAATTGTGTTTAACATTTGTATGTAATGTAAGAAATGCTGAAAAAATAATATAAGGTTTTCATTCTGTTCATTTTTTTTTCCATTTAGTGTGAATAAGACCTCCAACCCAGAACCATGGGAGAGACTGGACCCATCAAAACCCCAAAAGGTAATATTCTTAACATTATTTCCTAACATTTCATAATGTCTTGATAGTTGTTAATAAACCTTTTGATTTACATGACTCTTAAATACAAGCAGAATCTTCTAGTGAGCAACAGTGTGCTGCTGCAATCAGCTGAGTCATAGAGGAAGAAATGTTATCAAATTAGTAACAGCCTGTTATTGTGTTTATATTGCCGCACGTGCTGGGGCATTACACCCTGTGGCTACTCATGTTACTTGCTCATGTAGCTTATCACTTGCAAATAGGTCATGTGTTGTTTTTTTGTGCATTTTGCTGTAGTTCATCACCATTAATCAGGAGTGGAAACCAGTGGAGGAGCTGGAGCTGGTGAAGAAGCTCACCAAGTAAAAAAAAAAGGTGGGCATCTGCTAGAAAGAAACGCGGTGACTATCCGCTTGCCCCCCATCTGTCTAGCAGAATCCTTTCTGCACAAACTAGGATACTTTGACAGTCAGTGTGCGGAAATGCTTCTGCTCCACTGGTGGGGTTTCACCCAGCCCAAGGACATCCTTCCACAACAATACTATGTTAACAGACATGCTACTCATACTGCCATAAAGTCTAAGTTAAACTTAACTCTAGCTGTCCGTGATAACACCTAGAGATCCACAGTATATTAATTTTGAATATAGTGTGTTTAGTCATAGTAGGTGTTGGTCATAGAAACCCAGAAGCTAGTACAGTAGATGTGAATGTACAAAAGTGTCTGAATGTGAAGAGACAAAATGTGAACTTGGTAAATTATGTGATGTACATTATTGGGAATATGTTCAACATTCTTCACCAGTGTTGTCTTTGTTCTGAAAGGTTTAAAAGAGTATAACCATACATGTGTAGGAATATTCATATTCACATCTTTAGACTGATAGTCTGGTCTGTACTAAAGATACTATCATACTCTGTATTTTTGTAATTGCTTGCATATACCACGAAAAGACCAAAACCAATAATGAATTGATTCTACCAGCAAATATTGTCATATGACTCAATGCTGTCTGCCACAGATGTCTGCTGAGAGCAAACAATTTTATTTCTCATAGTAGTAAAAGTACAGGTATTGCTCATAACAATAATGATGGTTCTGTTGTATTTAAGTGTACCAGGATCCTAGAACTGAAGCATCTGTAAATTGAGCCATCATCAATTTTTTTATCTGCACCTGTGCTTTTCTTACTGTAACATGTCTCTGTGGGAAAAGCATACCATTGTTCCCAAACACATTCTGTGATATATTCCCCATTCACTTCCTCATTTGTTCCTCTTGATTCTTTACTCCCTTTATAATGGAAACAACAGTGAGCAGTAACATTAGATTTGGGACCATTATTAATCATCATTGTTCATCATTAATGAGAGTGCTTGAGCCATTTAAAAGCAATTTTCTTATCTATAATGCAGAGCATTGCACTGTGAGATTGCCGGCACAAAGTAATGTACATACTACAGACACATGTTTCAGTCCATTGTTAGAGCCCCAGTTTCACACACTCAAATAAAATGGTGGACCGCAAATGTAGCACACTAAACGGAGTGATTTTGGATACAGCAAGTTTACTTTAGCCGATCCCACATGCACTGTGTGTGCTGTAAAAACAGTTTGCTGGGACCAAACTGACCCCTCGCCGCCTTCTCCGCCCACCTCCTGTTTTCTCACCCCCAGATCCCCCTCAGTGCCCATCTCCACCTGAGCCTCTGGCTTTAAGTCCTCAGCCAACTTCAACACGTCTCAGCCACGGTGCCGTCCAGCTCCTCCTACCCCCACTTCACAACAGCAGTGAAATCACCCTCTATCTCATAAAACCACAACACATCCTGTCAGCACAAGAGACTGTGTACAAATTACAGCTATCTCTTACTGCTATCTGTCAGGTCCAGGTTAAAAAGATGATGGCACTCATGAATGCTCCCAGGACAAACCAGGACCTAACAAACAATAGATTTCCATATCCCTGTGATAATAACTAACAGAAGGAGAATGGTGCACTGAACTCAGTCATATAATAATAAAAAAAAATTGTTAATAATTCCTTGCCATGCTCAGCCTGCTCAGGGCCCTCCCACAAAGGCAGCTTTATTAAATATTCACTCTCTTAACAAGTCATTCTTAGTCAATGATCTTAAAAGCATAAACATTTTTAGTCAATGATCTTATCACAATACTCTTGATTTTATGTTTTTACCTGAAACGTGGCTACACAGTAATAACAGTAACACTGACAGAAGAGGTAGAGGTATTGCTGCTGTAGTTAAAGACTCCAGTACAAACAGTTATGTGGTTATTTGTGCTCTTTTGAGTATCTTTGTTTTGTGTTGAAAGGCACACCTATGATCTTGCTGTTAATAATTTACAGACCTCCAAGATCATCTACAAATTTCATAGACATCTTCACTGAGCTACTTTCTGTTATCTCAACAGATTTTGAGCATATTGTCATAACTGGTGACTTTAACATTCATATTGATAAGACAAATTTGCACAAGAATTCTGTGGTGTGCTTGAAACATTTGATTTGCTGCAACATGTTACATACTACCCATAACACTTGTGTTGCTATTTAAAAAATAAGGATATTTAAAAAGGATATTTAAATGAATGTACTATTTCAGTCGTTATGGAAGCTATGTCTGTATCAGTAAGTCTAACATCAGACTGTGTTGATTCACTTCTTGATCATTTTAGCTTTAAATCTCTTGAATGTATTGACAGTGCCTCACCTGTAAAGGTCAAATACAACTCTGGCAAGCAAAAAGCACCATGGAGGTACACTCTGGCTGACAGATGTCAGAAGAGAGAGTGCAAGAAAGCTGAGTGCAAATGGAGGAAAAGTAATCTTCAAATTCACTATGAGATCTTTAGAGAGAGGCTTTGCATTTATAACTCTGAATTAAGTAAGGCTAGACAAACCTTTTCCTCTAACACCATCAGCTGGTAAAACATTAGTTTTGGTGAAGCTTTTGATACTGTAGACCATAAAATCCTTCTAAACAGAGCAGAAAAGTGGGTAGGATTATCAGGTACAGTCCTCAATTGTTTCAGATCATATCTTGAAGGCAGGGCTTACGTTGTTTCCATTGGTGATCATCACCATGACATGCAGCTCCCCAGGGTTCGATTCTTGGACCACTGCTGTTCAACCTGTACATGCTCCCTCTGGGTCAGATCATACATGACAATAACGCTGCCTTTCACATTTACACAGACAACGCTAAAATTTACTTAGCTCTGTCACTAAGTGACTGTGGTCACTTAGGCTTTGACAACAAGGTTAGAAGTTATTGATCAGTTTGATTCTAGAGCTATAAAAAAACTCATAATGAGTCAGACCTGAGCTTCACCAGTCACATCAAGGCCATAACTAAATCAGTTTTTTTATCATCTCAAACCAACAGCAAGACTCAAGGGTCTCAGGTCCAGACAAGGTTTTAGAGAAACTTGCATCTCCAGCAGCCTGGACAATTGTAACGATCTTTTGTGTGGTCTTCTCAAAAAGACTGTTAGACAGCTTCATTCAGAGCGATGCTGCCAGACCTTTGACAAGATCCAGGAAAAGGAGAACAACACTCCTGTTCTTAAATCCTTAGCCTGGCTAACAGTTACCTATAGAATTGATGTTAAAGTGTTTCTGCTAGTTTGTAAAGCGCTCAGAGGCATGGGGCCAAAATACAGGTCTGATCTCCTTGAAGAATACAAAGCCAGCAGGGCTCTGAGATCCTTAGGAAGCAGTCAGCTGGTAGAACCTCAGGTCAGAACCAAAGCAGATGAAGATGCCTTTAGCTACTATGCTGCACACAGATGGAACCAGCTTCCTGTTGACCTTAAATGTGGCCAACTCTGCCACTTTCAAGTCTGAACTGAAAACTCTGCTGTTATCCTATGCCCTTGTTTGACTGGTTTCTGTGCTGTATTTCTGCAGTGTAACTGCTGGATTTCTGTCAGACCTTTTATTTTATCCTTTTTTCTTATTTTCTTATGTATCCCATTTTAACAATGTTTTATCTTCACTTTGTCTTAACTGATTTTATTCTGGTTTTAATGCGGTTACTGTTTTTCCTTGCCTCTGTAGAGCACTTTGAATTGCCTTGGAAATGTGCTATAATAAAGTTGCCTTGCCATGCCTAGGATACCAGCTGTGTATTAATCCACCAACAAATGCTCAATTTATGTTTGAATCAGGGATTAAAACACAGTAAAGCCTAAAAAGCTCATTTGAAATGTGGTCCTCCAGCCAGGTGAGACTGTTAGTCAGCTGCTGTTTACAGGGTCAAGAACCTAACATTTTACATCCATTCTTTAATTCCCAAATGTTATTTAACAAATTGTATGAATGTTGCTTGAAGACAAGAAAACATGGCCTGTTGTCAGTTAGGAAAACCGTAAAGTAATTACTGCCATCCGAGCAAGCAGATGCACTTATCTGCTTGGTTTATGGCTGCGTGGGCACTGAATTCTCCCATTGTGTTTCATAATAACAGACAATCCTCTTAACATCCATCTCATACCTCAGAGGAGAGCAAAAACCCTCCAGCAGAAAACCGTCCCACAGTGCCTGACTGGAGGTCACACAGCCAGCTGTACTGTCGACCTGAATGGAGTCCTGATAAATTATTAAATGTTAAACAAAGGGTGAGAAGGATGGGTATGAGGGAGAGGCACAGGTACTGTTTCCTGAGCTTGTTGGTCTGGTTCTTCCTGTTTGGTTTCATTTACTGTATGTGCATATGTCTACATGAGTGTTTTACATTTAAAAACATTTCCTTCCTCCTTGCTGCCTGTTATTGTCATTTTTCTCTGATCATAAATGCAAGATGTTTTCTAGTCATATTTCATAGCTTTAGAGAGCATAAACAGGTACAGACGAGCACCAGCTTATGTCTCGGCTGGAGGGCGCTTTTTTAGTGGTTTGTGTTATGTAGCCCAAGGTGCGTACTGTAGAGAAACAATAACAGAGGAGGAAGCACATAGCGTGTGTGGTGTGTCTGCGTATGTGACTGGGTCTCAGATACCATGACACCACAGATCATGTGACTACTGACTTAAGCATAGAATATATGAGAAGTTACAGATGGAAATCCTCACGTGTTACCAGTGGTGTCAGTCCTGTAACTATGAAAAGAAAACAGGTCATCATAACATACAACAGTTTTTTTTTTCTGGGTGATACATCATGTGTTAATTGTAGCCCAATTGTTCCCAGGCTGGCACAGTGTTTTCTATTTATGGAGAATTTTTCAGTTAGTCAGCCATCAGGTGTTTTCGTTAGGCCGGTTTATCCTGCAGTCCTGGTGAAGTCAAATGTTTTGCTGCCAAGGACAAAATTAATTTATGAGAAACAAAACCAAGGTCACAGTGTCTTTTGACATCTTTACTGCAGAAATGAACCAGGAAGAAAATCTGCCCAACGGCAAAGAATGACTGTCGTCAGTAATAATGTCCACTGGAAACGCATCTGGTTCTCGCATTATACTGACATTTTCTTCTCTGCAGTTTAAAGCTGAGACACAGGGCCTTTTAGAATCAATGCTAACCCGCTTAGATACAGTAATATGTGACCATCACATTCAGAGTCTGCCCTCTTCCCTCTGCATCTTTCCCCATGCATGTCTTTAAAAAGCAACATAAACAGCAGTAGCTTTTGACAAGTAAAAAATTACAGTTAAGTATTGTATATCTAATTAATATATTTTTCAGTCAATGTCTTGCTAAGTACACACCCTGGTCAGAACTCCTAAGTAGTTAAAATGTAAGGGATCCCTAGCAAACATCTTTATGTTAATCTATAAAAATGAATATTGGCTGATGTATCATCATATACATTCAAACATAAGCCTCACATATCGGTCAGGCTCTACTCTGAAGTAAAGCAGTGCAGTCAGGTGGTGGTTGTAAATGGTTGGCTCTGCTGTAAATCAAAGAAGTTGTCTCCCTTTGGTTAAGTGGCTTCTTGTTAATGCAGCTGTTGCCTGGAAACTGCGACACTCCCAGTTTACTTGTGTCAATAATAAATCCCATGGCACGTCTCCATTTTGAATATCAACCTTGTTTTGTGTGAAAAGCCTTATGTAGTTGATGTCTTATTGTTTCAAATACGCAGTGAATACAAACAGTATGCGCCGATACAGTACATAATTATAACTGTAGCCTTTAATATTTTGGCCTGTTTCACACTAGATAATTACTCAGACTCCTTAGTGTCAACAAGGGCCAAATTTCAGCCGCATCTATATATACACACTTGCTTTTCAGTGTTCATGCTGTATACTGCATGCATTATAGCCATAAGAAAGGCTTAATTCACCACAAAGACATGTATGTTTTGATGATGCTGGTAGAGCGCTGTCTATAACATGGTTCTAAATCTAGTGTTAAGTTAGGCTGAGATCTGGTGACTGTGAAGGCCACGGCCTAGGATTCACATCATTTTAATTTTCTCATCAAATCATTCAGTGACCCCTTGTTCCCTCCTGGAAAGGACCACTCATTTATTCAGGTTTGTCTTTTTATTTGTCAATGGTGCGTGTGTGCATGTTACCTTATAGTGATCCTGTCACCATGTTAGTGCACCACCTAGTGTTGAGAAGTGACAGCAAGCACACAGTAGGCCATAGTATGCACTGACCTACATCAAACCATTTCTGATCCTGTGTTCATCCTCTGTTTTTCTGAATTTGCATCATTATTAGTAGGTACTATCATTTTAAAAATTACAGTTCTTGTATTTGGGGATGAGCAGGGCACTTAATGGATGTGAATGGAAATGCAATCAAATTTGATAGAACTATGGATGAAAATGGCTCAAATATGCAACAAAGACTAATGTTCAAATTCAAGTAGAGGATTTGAGCTGTGCTGACAGTACAATAACAACAAAACTACTAAGGCTCAGGAATTACTATGCTGTTTCCTAACTTCAGTTTGTCCAGAAAAATTAGATACTGAGAGACTCAAAAGATTTAATACTTTATTATAAACAAAGCCAGTAATCCAGTTCCTGATTTGCCTTGATGATTAGTATAGAGATATGGAAACCCCGCGCAGCCTCTCAACAGAGAAAACACCATAAACATATAAACACCAAATGGCAAATTTTAACTCACACCCGTCTTCCTCAAAACACACCATCTCTGAAATACTCCAGATTTCTCTTTGCATTATGACAGTGACTTAATGAATTGGAAACAAGGGTCAGTATAGAGTGTGAGGCTGAAACCACACTGGAAGTCAGTCCAGCTGCTGTAGTGTTAACCGTGATTCAAAGTCAGTCCACACTGTGATTGTCAGTTGCCTGCTCAGCACAAATAATTAGAAGATGTGCTAAAATCAAGTCAGCATTGTTATTTTAAGTGTTGTCCAGTATAGACTAATACAAGAAAATCAAGGTGTAGCCTGTTGTATTTTTTTTAAAGTGCCTTAAAGTAGACTTTGACTGAAGAATATTAATAATTGAGCACATTTGAAATTTAATATCTACTAAAAGGACACAATGTTAAAGGTGCCAGTGGTGAAGAGTAAATCTTAAATGCCCTGTGATCACAGTTATTAAATAACATGAGGTACCTGTACCTTCTCATTTACTGACATCCTTAGTAAAATAATACAATCTTAGTATGTCATCCTCACCTAGTAACAAGGAGTAAAATTTAAATCGAATGACAAAATATCTGTTGTGATAAAGCAAACTGTATAATAAGAGTTTCCTGTTGGAATAGGTGATTAAGAGAAACGTTTTTTTCCAATTCTTCTCTGCTGAAGCATTCAACCGCCGCTCCGAAAGCTACAAGCATCAAGTTCCCTAGAGGCAGCAGTGATCCTTTAACTGTTTATCCTGTTGTTTTTCCATTGACTGTCCTTTGGCAACCGTCTTTTTCCACTTACATACCATATGCTGTGGCTCATGCTATGGCACTGAACAGTGACAGCAGTGCGACATCCAAACACTGTGGAAGTCAATGTAAGCATGAGTCTCTCTGTTCAGGCACTGCGCTGTTGGCACTGAACACAGTTGTGTACTGGTCTCTGGCTGTATGTCTGGACCTGCACTGTGCACCTGGTGACACCGTAGGTGTGAACCAGCAGGTGGCGGGCCTTCGCCTGAACGTCCTCCCACTTGTTAGCACTAGAAGGCGCTGTGAACACAAAAATGCATTTCAGCATTAAATGAAATAACCCAGAGTGTGTCCCACTAGACCAGGGGCCAACAATGACATTTAACCATGGGCCAGCTTTTTAGTGCTGTTACTGGGTGAGGGACCAGTACACTACCCTTCCCCAGTGAGGGAGGGTAGTGTACAGGGACACTTGAGACACAGGTCTGTGTGTTTTGTTTATTTCTTTGAATAGCATTTTTAGAACACTTAGCATTATATCTGATTAGAGAAGTAATTTTCCACATTAACAGCTAAGTGTTAATGTTAATAATAACTGAGCAAAAATGACAGTGTGAATGTACTGTATGTTTTCTGTTGAATTACAAACATTTGGCATGTAAGTGACAGCTTATCCACTCTTCCATCACTGTCTGGTTTGGTTCAGTAACCAAACAGGACAGGAACAGACTCCAGTGGACAGTCAGGACTGCAGAAAAAAGTCATCGGTGCCAGCCTGCCCTCCATGAAGGACCTGTAGACCTGTACACCTCAAAAGGAGGGCAGAGAGGATCTCTGCAGAACCCTCACACCCTGGACAAGAACTGTTTGAACTCCTCCCGTCTGGATGGCGCTACAGGTCACTGTGCACCAGAACAACCAAACACAAGGACAGTTTCTTCCCCCACACTTAACCCATGACTGTATAACAGAATGACAACCTTCGGTGCAATATCTTGTAAATATATCTTTGTATATATCTATCTGAAAAACTGCATCTAAAATATGTGTATATATTTCTAGATTTATAACTTTTTATTTTGCTACTGCACATTACTTTTTCTGGTTTGCACATTCTTTTCTTGTCTTATTCACTGTGTCTTATCTTGTTTACTTGTTTGCTCATTGCCTTATGGAAGAGTGTTGTATATGCGCACTGAAAGCCACTGTGCTGGAGTCAAATTCCTCAGGTGTTAAACACACCTGGCCAATAAAGCCGATTCTGATTCTGATACTTGTGTAGACCTGTGGACAAAAGTGTCATTTTTGTCATGGTGAATCAGCGCTGAAACACTAGTCATGTGTCTAAATACACTTCAGATGTACTTTAATCACAACAAGACAGTGAAAATACTGTAGGTAGTGTGAAGGTGACTGATGAATAATTGGGCATAGAAATTCCAGATTTGACTGGAATTTAATAAATAATATTTAGCACTATATTTCCTAATTTGCCCAAATCCCTTTCTGTTCTTGGGTATACTGGTGTTATGTGATTACTCACTGAGCTGAAGATGTACTAGTGCTGCAGTCTTATCAGCTGTCAGCGCCCAGACATTCAGTTCATCGACCGACTGGACATCCTCCAGCTTCAGGAGGTCCTCTTTGATTCGCTGAATGTCCAAGTGCCTGGGAACACCTGACATGGAAGGATAAAAACAACACCATTAATGTTCTCACACCACACTCTTAATACTAAACAGCATAGTCTGAATCTGAGACCAGGAGCCGAGGCTTACCCTCAAGCACAATTACTGCAGTATCTCGTATGATGCGGAATGTGGTGAAGAGAACCAAAAGAGAGAAGATGTAGGTACAGATGGGGTCCGCCACTTTAAGGTCCGGCTGTGAAGACACAGGGTTACATCTACTGTTCGCATTAGGATGATCTCTGACATTATTTTCAATCAACCACTCTCTAAATTACCAGTTCCATTATCAATATGCAAAATGGTTATTATTTTTGGTTGGTACAAATGACTCTTATATGCACAATGCAGCTCCAAATACTCTGTAATCATAATACTATATGTTATGGGTCTGCAAACTCCACATAATCCCTTAAGAGGTTTTGTGGAAATAAGCACAACATTTTATACTAATTATAGGTAAAACAGAGATCAACCGGCACACTTCTAAATTCTAGGCTAGCACAGCTTTGAGTGCATCAGGTGAGCTACACGTGCAAAGTGTACATACAATTCATGAAAGAAAAATAACATTTCTAATGATAAATAAGCAAGTAATAAATTTAAACTGAGCAATTTCTTAAACGGTAATCCATCTGGAAGTCAATAAGAAGCTCAACAGAACTGAACCAACTAAAACAACACTCTCAGAACTCCGTCTCTATTTTTCCTACAATTGCTACCAAACTACGTAGTTATTTCTCAGAAGTGTCTTCTGAACAAACTGCTATATTATATTGGCTCCAATAAATTTCCAAAACAAGGAATCTATTATGTATTTAAAATAAACTGTTAACATTCATGGTGAACAATTCATTAAAAACACAGGGTACCTTAAAGCGGACAATGTATGCAGCTATGAGCACCCCGACACTCTGGAGGAGGTCTCCCAGAGCATGGATGAAGGCAGCTCTGACAGCCAGGCTGCCGTGAGACCTCTGCTGGTGGCCAGACCCAGCCGACTGCGACCCCGAGGCAGCAGCAGAGCCGTGAGAGTGACCATGACCGTGAGAGTGGAGGTGACCGCTTTGGTTTAACAAGAAACCCATTCTAAAGGCAGATGAAACCAAAGAAAGAAGGCGCCATTTTAGGCATTAACATTACATTTATTTTGTCCAATTCACATTGTGATTTGACTAACTTAGAAACTGCACTGTGCCAGTCCTGATTTCTGTATCTACAGTCCGTGGTCAGACATTACACACTAAGGATCAGCAGCTTACCTGTAAAGCACTGAAGTGCAGTTTAGACAGCATCATTACATTTCTGCTGATACCTGACATTCACAGGTATCCAGCACTGACATGTCACTGCACTTCAGGTCTTCAGTTTTTCTACACAGACATTTACATACAAGTACTTCACTTACATGAGGTTCACAGCCACCCCAACAGCTGCAGTGATGAGCATGACATCTCCATCTATACTGAAGTCTTGATGTATGGTCCTCTGAACTGCCTCATAGAACAGTATGGCCGTCAAAATATAGATGAGCAGCACACTGAGGACTGCCGATACCACCTCTAGGCCAGGAAATCCCAATCCATTGTATATATAAAGAAAAACAATAAAAATGCAAGGTGTGAAAACTTGATCTCAGTGGGTAGGTCAGAGACAGGTAGAATGTGCCTTTTTAACTTGTACACCACAGAGATCATGCAAAAGGTACAAGGCAATAATTGCTTCAAAATACAAACAAGTGACAAATGAAAAGAAAAACCACCACTGGTGACTTGTGAAGGCCACAGCACCATTTAGTGATCTCTCCTGCCCTATAGATGGGAGCGCCGTCATCCTTATACTGTATAATGCAGTACAGTCCAACCCCAATGCGAGCTACAGCCTCCAAATGAACATACAGTTGAATCAGCACCTCTCTGACACAGTTTGAACACAAACTGAACATTTTCAACTTATTGGAGGACTACTGTATTAGACTGCATTCATTTTAGTTTGGTGTATCTAATAATCTGCCAGCTGAGTGTATATTTGGACCAACAGTTACACCATAACAGGTAAACTACAGTGGTGAAATTATATTTGTAATGATAACAGCTGATGTTATTTGCAGAAATTCCGGTCATCTCGATTTATAACTGAATCAAAGGTTTCCTTTGTGTAATCTGTTATGGTTTCAACACTGCTGAACACATACTTTCTTCCTGGAACTGTGACTCATCTCTATCAAAACCAAATATATGTATTTGTCTAACACAGAAAAAGGGAAGTGGAGAGAGAGGGGGAAAGTGAAAGGAAAAAGAGAGAAGGCTACTGGAAACAGAGACGTACCGAGGCGGTGGAGTCCGAAGGTGAATCTCTTGGTTGGAGGCTTGGTGGAGAGCCAGAGAGCCAGCAGAGAAAACAAAATGCCCACCACATCTGCTAGCATGTGCACAGCATCAGTCATAATGGCTAAGCTGTTTGATAAATAACCACCTGAAAGTACAAGACAGTGTGAACAACTGAAAAGGCATTTTCTTTTTGCTTAGATCTATCTAAGCTATTTACACTGTTTAAATCCTGTACTGTTTACATTCTCAGTTTGCACATGCATAACTGCACATTGACTGTTGACTGCTGCTCCCATGTAACATGCATTCTCTTATTATATTCTTATATATTTTTATTATATCTCTGTATTTGCTGCTTAAAGTGCCTTAGATTTTGTGTTACTTATTCATCTACATTATATTTCATTTGTATTTTGTGGCATTCATGTGGACGGCAAAGTAAGAATTTCATTGTACAGGGAAACGCGTTTCCTAACTGTGCATATGACAAATAAATACTTTGACCTTTGACCTACACATGCAGATTTCAAGTCGGAGAACAAAACAGGTTTAAATAGGTGTGGCTCCAGGCAGATAAATATCAAAAGCAAAGTGATTAGACTTCCAGGTGATATACTGTGAAGTGACAGAAGCTCTTCAGAATCACAAGTACATTTAATGTTTTTTTTTTTGTTAAATCACATGAAAAGAACAACATAATAAAAAAAGTGTCTCATGTGACCCTAGATGAATTAGATCTAATATAAAAGTGGTGAACTGTCACACTATCACCAACATGTAATTAATGAAGCTATGCTACAATCACCATTTTCATTGGAAAACACTGGCCCATAAAGAAAACAAAGGCCCTCTATCTCGTGCAAGAGAAGAAACTGAGCTGAACAACAGAAAATGTCTAGCACATGTTGACCTCATGGTTTTGAAAACTGCCAGTATAAAACATTTTTATGTTTGTGCCATGGTTTTCTTTCTGGAATAATAATTTTTAACTAGTATATGATCCAAAGAGTAGTAAAAATCAGAAAACAAATCAGTAATCTATGAGATTATTATTTGGAAACTGGAACCTGAAAAATGGACATGTATCAATTCAAAAACAGAGACTTCCCACTGCTTTTCATCCAGATTTACAGTCCCTAATTCAATCCTTAACTAAAGCTCAGAAGTAAATACATCAAGAGACTGCATCAGGTAAGTGATGATTCAGCTGCAGCATGATTTCTGATACTATAGTGTGTGAATGTGTTCTGTTGGATTTATATATGATCCTTGGCTCAATTCGACCAAATTACTATTTTAAAAAATTGCCTATTGTCTGTAAACACATTTACACATGCAGGCAGGTTTTGGCCAAAAACCCAGGTTTCTTCTTCCACCACAACACAGTACAGAATAATGTGATTTGTGGTGCTCAACATATTGAAAATGTACATCTGAGACAAGTTCAATCATTAACAAGAGGCACTTCAGCTATCTTATGTCCCACTGTGACTTCCATGGTAAAAGAACTTGTAGTACAATCAAACAAGCTAACCTGAGCTTAAAAAAAAGCTGTGGAACCTCAACAATGTGAAAGTTACAGTAAATATGCATGCAAGGCCTCCCATCATCATCCTTACAGGGTATATGTGGTGTATGGATGGTATGTCTGCTGTGTGACAGTCTTGAGTCATCGTGTTCATAAGATGTCCTGCAACCAGCCCTTTACAGAGGGCATTATGGCTAATATTCTCAATTTATTACTGGATGAGTGAAATGAAAAATGGAAATGCATCGCTTGTTTGACAACTGCAAGGCAGCAGCTCAGCTGTGTTTATACGAACAGCCATTCCAGGCAAACACAGCTCAGACGTCTAAGGTTCTGAGCACATTTCCTGTGCTGACAAGTTGTTGAGTGACCACGCCAGCAGTAATAAAAGAGAGAGCTTCACTGGTTGATGATCTCAGCATCTTAGTACTTGACTGTTGGTCAGACCACAAAAGAAAACTGAATAAGTTACACATTTCTAATAAATCAGTGATCAGTCAGATTATGGCACAGACTAAAGCTGTCAGCTGCCAGCTCTTCCCATTTGGTAATCCAGCCTTGCACCTTGGGCTCTGGGAAACTGTGACAGACTACTACTTGTGACATTTTATAGGCTAAGTGATCAGACAAAAATAATCAACATATTAAATGATCATTTAAATATTCCTTAGTAAAATAAGTATACAGCGTGAGACTCACGCTGCACCTGCTTACCTACAATTTCCCCTGTCATAAAAAGGAAATACAGCAAAGCTGCGACGACAAGCCTGTTCATCACCCTCTTCTGCCTGATCCTCTCTCTCTTCCTGGTGCAGTTGTCGCAGGGGTCCATGTTTACCCCTGGGCTGCCTAGGCTGGAGGAGGGGTCAAGCAGGGGGTCATCATCATCATCCGCCACGACCAGCGTGTTCACTGCCACTCCGTTGGACGATGCTCCTGCAGAGTAGTCTGCCATCTCTCCTGATACCACCACCCTCAGCTTGTTGAATTTGGGCATCTCATCCTCCACCAGCTCGTCGGATAAATCGAAGTGCGCCGTGTCGCTCAGGTCCCAGTCATTCCGCTCCCTCCTGAGTGCGGACCGCACCTTGGTGAAGAAGTTCCCACCTGACATCTTTAATACTTAACAGGGGCAATGTATATCCAAGTGAGGTCTAAATGTGGGTTACTGTCCTCCGAGGTAATCATCACATTTTTGTAGCGGGGTCCGGCGCAAGCTGTTATTTCTATGCCATGTTAGAACCTGGATTAAAAAGAAAGTGATACAGAAACAAACACATGTCATCTTTTCATGTCAGTAAATCCCAACAATTCCAACAGCGACATTCAAACAGACTTACTACTGTCAGTAACTAGTTTAAAACACGGCATGTTAAAGTCCTTGTGTCTGTCAGTCACTCACATTCCCACATGATAAACTCTGACTTCAGTAGTCCTCCTAAATCAGCCTTGGCTAAACAGTAGCCACTTAGCTAGCACAGGTTAGCTATGTTATGACAGTTCGTGACTAACAGGCAGCCATTGTAGTTTGTTAGGAAGTATCAGCCGGACTTACCTATATACGTACTTATCGGTTTCATAAACTTAATTCTCTTTGAAACTTGTTAACACTGTCGTTATAATACCAGTGTAAACATCAGGGAAGTAGCACTGCCTCGGAAAGCAGAAGTAATACCATCAAGTTTAGCTTCACCAGGAGTCACATGATGATGACGTATGAGTCACATGATGCTTGTTCAGCCACAGCAGTTCCAAAGTCGCACTGCTGACTCCTGCTTTTGGTCAATAAAACTCAACTCCTCACACCTACAAGCACATTTAAATAGACAGGTAAGATGGTGTTGACTGAAGTGAAATGTTTACAGATTGTTTGATTAGCACTATCTCACGTTGTAGTTCCACATTATGAAGGCGCTCACCGAGCTAGCTGGACGCTTCCTCGGTATGTAGATGCTGTGATATGTACTTGTCTTTCCATGAGATCTACCAGTGAGATTCATCGTTCTGATCTGATTGTCTGCGCCTCTTTTCAGCGTATAAAAGCAGTCTGGGATAACAGAGACGTTGCATATGGAGGTAGAGGGGATGGAAGATGAAGGACCTTCGACTCAAAGTGAACTTCCACACAGTGAAGGTGTGTGCACTTGTGCTTAACCTACAGTTCACCTGTCTGACTTATATATGTGCAGAAGGTTAATAAACAGTGTCTCAGCAAACATTTTGTCCATTAGATCTAATACGAGGATGTTTTGATAAAGAATACTGTGAATAGTTTTTACACATTAATTTCATGCAAAGTACAGCAAACAGAAAAAGGAAACATTTTGTGTGATCACCCTTCGCATTTAAAGCAGCACCAGTTCTCCTCTGTACACTTGCACACAGTTTTTTAAAGTACTTTGCAAGTAGGTAAACCCAAGCATTATGGAGAAGTTGACACACTTCTGTGGATTTAGGCTGACTGATTGTCTTCTGTCTCTTCATGTGATCCCAGACTCCACAAACAGGCCCATCCCAGAGGCAGCTGAGATAACCCTATAGTCAGAGATAGGCAGATGACGGTTATGGAGAGCAGTCATGAAACTGGGTTTTAGAATTTTAAATGACATTGCAGTTTATATCATGATGTCACTGCACTGACAGTATAAGCTGTCTTTCCTCCATCTTTTAACAGACCTACAGTTGGTTCAGCCAGAGTTTGAGAACAGCAAAAATAAGATATAAGAAGGGAATTTTCTGGGTCACTGTTACAGATAAATCAGCAGAGTGCAGGATTCCATATATTAAAGTATGTTTATGAAAAAATTGCAGGCAGGCCAACATTTGTGTTATTGTGTGCTTAAAATACCAGCGCTGTGCAGTCATGATGGTTAACAGTTAAATAAACAATAAAATATAGGGCAGATCGAACCGTGTCTTCAGTAGCTTTCAGCTGATGGTATTTATGTCAAAGATCACTTGAAACAATGCAGTCTCAAGTGTATCAGTCAGAATATCAGCAGTAAGAGGTTCACTAATAAGCTTCAGTTATGACCTTTGTGAGGCTAAAACTGCAATCAGACCCACCAAAAAGGACGATTATCAGTTAATGGTTTGAAAGGACTTTTGTGACACAATCCTATGTGCTTTGTGTATTTCTTCTTACTTATTTGACAGATCACCAGTTGACACAACAGGAATCCTTGCATGTGGAGAGCTCAGCCCCTGTACAGAATGCATCTGTGTATAAGAAAGCAGTGGACAAACTGACAGAGGGATTACTCTCTCACTACCTGCCTGATCTACAGAACTCTAAACGAGCACTTCTAGAGCTCACGTGAGTGTTTTCTTGATCAGTATGTCACGAGATTTTACTTTTACACCTAGCAAAGCATTACACTGAAATATTTTACAGTGCTCTTTTTTAGTATTTCTTATTTTGTTTTCACATCTTGTCAATAAAATGTCAGGAAACAGGGGCAAATGCCTATTCCAGCACCTAAAGGTTTAGGTCTTTTGATTTGAGGATGGCCCAATGTGTCCTAGGGTAACAGAGATTTGAGAAGAAGCAGTGAAGGACTGTTCCTTAAAAATACCTCACTTACAAATTTCAATTTAATTGGTGTGTGATAAGTACATGAAAAGATAAAATATGTCTAAAGCAAACTGTCTTTGTCTGCACATACTGACACTGACATACACAGCCACCTGTACATAGTAAGCAAACTGGTGGAACAGCATATGGATGGATGGATTGACCAGTTGCTTTTATGTTGGTAGTGTAGATCATATTAGGCCGCATAAAACAACTGGTACCACTAAAACTGTGCAAACATGTAAAATTCTGTGAGTCGCTTCTAAACATCCATCAGTGTCTAAATGATAGGCATATATTGTTTTTCTTTCTACTGCCTTTTATTCAGTAGATGTCCTTAAGCATGAGTAAAGTTCACCTAAAGCCATTTATTTCTTACTCTTTGCTTTTGTCTCAACCAGACAAAATCAGCTGATATTGTTAGACACGCTGGACCAAGAAGTCACCAAGTTCAGAGAATGCAACACCTTACTGGATCTCAATTCACTGGTAAATTTGGACAGAATTATAATCCCATTTGTACTTGTATTGTTGTTTTTACTGTGTGCA